CAATGTATGAATTTTGGGAGGACACAAGCACTTAGTTTATAACAGTCATGCTTTTTGGTAAAATCAGTATTATCACTTATAATCACTTATAATATTAGGACTAATATGACAGTTGAGCCATATAATGTACTGATTTTCTCTCTTTTTGTGATTCTATCACTTTTTCCTAAATTTAGTCTTCTCATCTCTCAATATGTTGAGACACATGAATATTCTGTCAATTCCATTTGTTTACTTAAAGATGTTACTTCTGGATCTCCGTCTTATTCCACCAGACTGCTGGTTCTCTAGGTTTGCTGCACAGTTATCCTGGAAATGAATTTCACCATTATCCTGTTGAGAATTCTTTTCTTTTCACACTGCAGTAGCTTCTTTAGAAAGTGATGGTGGTGGTGGTGGAGTGTTAATTTTTTTTTTTTTAAAGATTTTATTGGGGAATTGAAGAAGGGGAACAGACAAGTTGCTGTCCTTTTGTTTTTCAGTCTAGTTATGGAGGACATCGCTTCACTGGCCCATGTTGGTATTATCATTGAGCTTTTCCCAGGTGATGCAGATTGGTCGTCAGCCATTGGACGGCCGCTCACAGGGGCTCATGGCAGCTCACGCCGGCTGCCGGCCACTCACGGTAGCTTATGGCAGCCCACTGCAGCCCCCCTGCAGCCTACGCTGTTGCCGGCGACTCAAGGCAGCCCAGCTCCAGGTCAAGCTGTTGTTCATCATCTTAACTGTAGAGGGCGAGGAGTCACTGGCCCATGTGAGATCCGAACTGGCGGCCCTGCTGCTCAGAACTCGTGCTCCCAAGCCAAGTCTTTTATTATTATTTTTTTAAATAACTTTATAGTTTTACTCTTAATATTTGGGTCTTTTTTTTTTTTTAAGATTTTTTATTGGGGAGTTGGGGGAGGGGAACAGACAAGTTGCTGTCCTTTTGTTCTTCAGTCTAGCTGTGGAGGACATTGCTTCACTGGCCCATGTTGGTATTATCATTGTGCTCTTCCTGGAGGAGGCAGATTGGTCGCCGGCCTCTGGACGGCCGCTCATGGCGGCTGTTGGCAGCTCACACTGGCTGCCAGCCACTCATGGTAGCTTATAGCAGCCCACTGCAGCAGGGGCTGCAGCCTACACCTTCGCCGGCAACTCACAGCAGCCCAGCTCCAGGTCAAGCTGTTGTTCACCAGGTCGAGCTGTAGAGGGCAGTGTCACTGGCCTTGATGTGGGATCCGAACTGGGGCCCTGCTGCTCAGAGCTGGTGTCCCAAGCCAGCTCTTAACCAACGTTCCACTTGGCCGGCCCCCAAACCAACTCTTAACCAGCGAGCCTCTCGGCCGGCCCTGGAGTGTTCATTTTTGAGAACTCGTATGTCCAATTATCTTTAGCCTAAACTGAAAATTTATTTTTCTGAGTATAGAATTTTAGGTTGGAAGCCATTTTTTTTCCTAAGAATGTTGAAGGCATTGCTATATTGTCTTCTAGTGTCCATTATTGTTATATACATACAGCATAGCTAAATCTAAGATAGTCATTCTAGACAATATACATAGCTAAAGTTTTTTGTTCCTTTTCTCCCTCTCAAGAGTGTAGACTGGTTATGGAAAATTTCTGGTACATAAAATTTAGTACTAGTTCCTGGAACTAGATTCTAAGCTTGATAACCATCTATATCTTCTGTTTCTCAGGCAGCAACCAGAGTGAGAAAGTTCCTGGTCTTATAATTATTTTCAACCAGGCTTACTTCTATTAACCGGTATCTGACTTACTATGAATTTGTTGCCTAAATTAGTTTTTAATAAATCAGCAAGAAGAGGGTAGTCCAAGAGTAGAATTTGATTTCTGTATTTTCAAGTTATCCACAAATTTCTGATTGAATTTTATTAAAAACTTTACATACTATGGAACTTTCGAGACCATATTTGTTTCCAACTTTATATGAACTCAAGAGATAATTTCTTTATAGTAAGTATTGTGAATATCCTCATTCTAAAGAAAGTTGAGCTTTTGGGGTCCCTTAGTTAGACTCCTCAGGGGAAATGTTTAGCTTTGACAAGTGTAGAGTGCTCAAATTTTATTCCTTGCTAAGTGCTATTCTGTTTATTCCTTCGTTATGAATCCTGACATCACCGAAATACTCTGAGAAACATGTTTGTTTTTCTTGGGTAGTTTTTATATGACTTCAGCTCTCTGTAGGTGTAGGGTAAAGTCATAAACTCTTCCCAGCATGCATTCACTTGAATTTATGTGCAGTGAATGTCATCCTCTGTACTCTTGCCCAATTATGTTAGTTCCCTGGAATGTTTCACAGTCGAAGCTTAGTCTGTATGTGACACATCCTGGCTTCTTAGGGTTCTGAATATTGGTCAATCTGAATAGAGTGTATTTTCTGATGGACTCTCCTGTTATAGCTTTTCCTAAGAAAGTAGAGACTTTGCTATTTTAAATGAACCAAAAAACTAAGATCTGACATTTTATTAACATTGGCCTCTTAAGAGGCAGTGTCTACCAATTAATTGTGAGTGAATGCCTACTGCGTGTCCTGTTTTGTGCTTAGACATAATTCCTGCCCTGGTTGCAGGCTTAAATTCTAATGTATAGAAAAATGTTACAAAATTCTTTTAAATAAAATCCAGTTAAGTGCTATAAGTGGAAGTGCAGCGTTCAGTGAGATTAACAGGGCACCTAACCTGGGGAGAAGGAAGGGTTCAAATTGAGATCTGAAGTATGAATAAGAGTTTGGTTTCAAAAATGGGGAAGATGAGCATAGAGCTAAAAAGTTTAAAGAGGTTTCTGTGTTTATTCAAAGTACAATTAGTTATTTGTAGATGTTGTTTTCTCAAACTTTTAATCTTTTTAAAGAGGAGGACTTTTGTAAGCTTATGTTTTACATGAATGGCACTTGGGTTTTTTGTTTTGCTTTTCAAAGTTCTTTAAACAGTGGTGTAACTCGATTTTTTCTCTGTCAGGGCTAAGGAAGTCCTGAGGATTGTTGCTTGCATTGATAGGTACAAAGGAGATTATAAAAGGTGGTAGGGTGCAAAACTGTCAGGCGCCTGTTTTTGGAAATGTCAGTAATAGCTTGCCAGGTCAAGTTACTTGTGTCAGAGAGGGTCTCTGAACTATTGCTGGACTTCTTTCATTAAGGAAAGATGACTAAAGGTGTTCACCACTAATGCTCTCATGGTCAGTAATTCAGTTACCATGATCAACACTTCATCTTTCAAACTGACTTTTATTGCCAGGACCAATTAAAAAATGTTTTTTCCTTCTAAATTTTCAAATTGAAATGACTACTTCAGAATATTACAAACTATGCTGATCCTGGCCTTTAAACACACTGGTAGTCCAGTTCAGGTAGCTGAGAAATTTATAGCAATACTTACTAGAGAAATTTACTAACTTGCTTTAGAAACTACCAGACTAAGTTAACAATTAAGTTCGCCAACCTGTTGCAACAATGTTGCTAACCTTTTTTGATATCAGAGGGATTATTCATTTTGAATTTGTACCAACTGGACAGTTATTCAAGTTTACTATTTGGAAGTGCTGAAAAGGCTGCGTGAAAAAGTTAGGCAACCTGAACTTTTCACCAACAATTCATGGTTCTTGCATCAGGACAATGCACCAACAACTCACACAGTACTGTCTTTGAGGGAGTTTTTAGCCAGAAAACAATTAACTGTATTGGAACAGCCTCCCTACTCACCTGATCTGGCGCCCAGTGACTTTTTCTTTACCCGAAGATAAAGGAAATATAGAAAAGACATTTTGATGGCATTCAGGACATCAAGGGTAATACGATGACAGCTCTGATGGCCATTCCAGAAAAAGAGTTCCAAAATTGCTTTGAAGGGTGCACGAGGTGCTGGCGTCAGTGCATAGCTTCCCAAGAATACTTCAAAGGTGACCATAGTGATATTCAGCAATGAAGCATGGAGCACTTTTTCTATGATGAGTTTGTGAACTTAATTATCAGACCTCGTATGGTTGAGCCAGCTGGAAGCATGAATTCTTTTGAATTAAAGAATATAATTTTGCTAAGCCCAATTTATTTTAGCATTTTAGAATGTAAAAAGTTGCACAGAATAGTTATAATTAAGTAAACTTCAATAGAACACTGAATTTTAGTCTTTATTACATAGGAACAAATGCAAATAATTTTCATTTGAAGCATTTTATTACAAATTAATTAAAATTGTTTTGTTTAGCATGATTTTTGTCCCAAAGTAATAAGATCTTAAAGATGATCAATTATCAATATTATATTGGGGGTGCCAAAAAAGTGTATGCACAGGACTTGTATTCATTCATCTTTTGTTATTGGTATATATTGAGTATTATAATTTTAATACAGTTTCCTTTCTTAAAATGTGTATACTTTTTTTGGCACTCTGTATATCAGGAATTAAATTACTAAGAAAGCTACATTTAAAAAGTCTTAGTAGGGCACCAAGTGGCGCATTGGTTAAGGTCTGGCTTGGGACGCCAGAGGGCCCTGGTTCGGATCCCACATATGAGGGCCAGTGACACTGCCCTGTACAGCTAAGATTCTGAACAACAGCTCAACCTGGAGCTGGGCTGCCGTGAGTCGCCAGTGACGGCATAGGCTGCAGCTCCTGCTGCAGTGGGTTGCCATGAGCTACCGTGTGTAGCCAGCAGCCAGGGTGAGCAGCCCTCCAGAAGCCTGCGACTGATCTGCCTCGCCCGGGAAGAGTGCAGTGATGGTGCCACCTTGGGCCAGTGAAGCAACGTCCTCCACAACTAGACTGAAGAACAAAAGGACCACAACTTGTCTATTCCCTTCCCCCAATTTCCCAGCGCTGTTCCCATCCCAATTCCCCAATAAAAATCTTAAAAAAAAAAAAAAAAGTCTTAGTAAATACCTCAATTATCCTCTTTTAAATGACACGCACAGAATATTAACAGTTTGGAGGTTAACAGCTAAAATTTTATAAATATGCAGCTATCTTTGTTGTATGTAGACTTATAATACTTTTTTCTCTTTACAGGAAATGCACAATTTCGAGGACGAGTTAACGTGTCCCATTTGTTACAGTATTTTTGAAGACCCTCGTGTATTACCATGCTCTCATACATTTTGTAGAAACTGCTTGGAAAACGTTCTTCAGGCATCTGGTAACTTTTATATATGGAGACCATTACGAATTCCACTCAAGTGCCCTAATTGCAGAAGTATTATTGAAATTGCTTCATCTGGTATTGAATCTTTACCTGTTAACTTTGCATTAAGGGCTATTATTGAAAAGTACCAGCAAGAAGACCATCCACATATCGTCACTTGCCCTGAACATTATAGGCAACCATTAAATGTTTACTGTCTCCTAGATAAAAAGTTAGTTTGTGGTCATTGCCTTACCATAGGCCAACATCATGGTCATCCTATAGATGACCTTCAAACTGCCTATCTGAAAGAAAAGGACACACCTCAAAAACTGCTTGAACAGTTAACTGACACACACTGGACAGATCTTACGCATCTTATTGAAAAGCTGGAAGAACAAAAATCTCATTCGGAGAAAATGGTCCAAAGTGATAAGGAAGTTGTTCTCCAGTATTTTAAGGAGCTTAGTGATACATTAGAACAGAAGAAAAAAGTTTTCCTAACTGGTCTCTGTGATGTTGGCAATCTGATTAATCAAGAATATTCTCCACAAATTGAAAGAATGAAAGAAATGAGAGAGCAGCAGTTTGAATTAATGACGTTGATAACATCTTTACAAGAAGAGTCTCCACTTAAATTTCTTGAAAAACTTGATGATGTCCGCCAGCGTGTGCAGATCTTGAAACAAACACCGCTTCCTGAGGTCCAACCTGTTGAAATTTATCCTCGAGTAAGCCAAGTATTGAAAGAAGATTGGAACAGAACAGAAATTGGACAAATTAAGAAACTTCTTATTCCTGAAATGAAAATTTCTTCAAAAAGGATGCCATGTTCCTGGCCTGATAATGAAAAGGAAGTTGAACTTTACAGGATTCTAAACATTGTTATAGTTACACTAATTTCAGTGATACTGATGTTGATCCTTTTTTTTAACCAAGACATAACAACCTTTCTAAATGAAATAACTTCAGTATGTTTCTCTGAAGTCTCTCTATCTGTTTACCAAAGTTTATCTAACAATCTGCATGACTTAAAGAATATACTATGTCACAATTTATATTTACTGAAGGAATTCATGTGGAAAATAGCTTCTCGTTGAAAATTCAAATTAAATCATTTGAATAGGCTTATTCTGTATAGAGACTAACAACCATTGCTAAATGGAGAGATAGGGGTAGCATGGATAAATAAAGTAGCAAACTAAACTATTAGAGTTGCAGCAAATATATAGAAATATTTTAAACCTTTCATACTTCTTCTGTTGGATAGAAATGTGTCAGAAATGAGACAAAATGCGTCTAGTTTTCAGCTTGAAAACTAGAATAAACTAGTAATTACTTGATTTGAATATTAACACATTATTCCATTTTTATTGGCTTAAGAGGTTGACTTAATATTGCTATGCATTTAAACATTCTTATACCAATATTGTTTTTTAGGGTTAATATTACCGTAGTACTCGGCAGAATCCTGAAAGTGCCTATGCCTTTATTTTTGATGTGTCTCGAATCTTTTGAATGGGCAACTAAGGATATTGAGGTTTTAAAATCAAGCAGCAAAGTCTAAAATGATAAAAGATTGCCTAAAGATGTTTTTGATCAAACATACCTGATCCACACATTAATGTGTTTCAGATTTAAGAGCCCTAAAATGTTTAATCAACATTGATTCCTAATAAAGCTATTGCTTTTGGAAATCTAAATGTTAGGGAACAAACAGTGACATTTTCTAATACTTAAATTCTGTGGTATGTGTAATTTTAGGATTTAATTTTTTGTGTAGTTTTTAGTTGTCAGTCAAATAAATCAGTTCTTGCATAAAAACTCTAAAACATGTTACTAGAACAGAATATATATTCCATCCTCATCAGACTTGGATGGCATAACATTAATTGTATTTGTCTTAAATTTTCAGACAAACATTCTCTTATGTTATTGCCAAAGTACCAATGCTCTTATTGAATTTTGCTTAAAAGGGAGCCTTAGCACTAAGAGGATTGACTGCATTAGGTCCATTTATGACCAGAATCAGAATATACCTAGCATGGTTAAACTATTGTATGGGTAAAGATCATTTGAAGGGTGTGATGGAGGTGAGGGAGAGAAATATTCAGCAGCTGAGCTAGAAATATAAATGAATATTAACTTTAGACTGAAGTTGCATTGAGTTGATTACTTAAAAGTATTAGTCACAACAAAAAGACATGTACTTTTGAATATATGTAAATATTAATAAACACTGAAATGTGCTTATTGTTATTAATAAATTTATGTTAGCTATTATGTATCAAGCACTTAATCTCACATTTCCGAATTACTCCCACTTTGTAGATGAAAAAACAGGCACAAAAGTCATTTGTCCAAGTCCACATAGTTAGTATAGGGGAGACCCCTTGTATTCTTTACAGAGTTCATGGTGTCATGCTACCTTTAAAAGATTAAGTAAGCCAAGATTTTTATTAAATTGGGGCTTCTAGTCTATACCTAAGCATTATAGCTAAAGATTGAAGCATAAACCTATCAACATTTTCGGTCATTTTTGTAAACTTGCCAGTTTTTAGTAGACAAAACTTTATTTCTTGATGACTTTAATGTAGTGTGCATGAATATAGTCAAGTACAGACATACCCTGTTTTATTGCACTTTGCAGAATATTATGTTTTTTTGTTTTTTTTTAAACAAAGGTTCATGCAACCCTGCATGGAGCATGTCTATCTGTGCCAAATTATGATTTCCTGAAGGCTCAGATGATGGTTAGCATTTTTTAGCAATAAACTTTTTAAAATTTAAGTATATACATTGTTTTTTAAAGATATAACGCTATTATTGCACAGTTAATAGACTGCAATATCTGTAGCATAAACATAACCTTTGTATACACTAGGAAAACAAAAAATTTGTGTGACTAGCTTTATTACAGCTGTCTGGAACCAAACCCACAATATCGCCAAGGTATTGCCTGTACACAAATAACTAACTCTTAAACATGCCATTCTCTTTTGTCTTTGTACCAGGAGGATGAGATTGTAAAATTTAAAGTATATAATCTTGAAATACTTTTAGTTTTATGTATAATAAGTATATTTTAATAAACTCATTTTGATATTTTATTTACATTGAATGGCTTAAAAAGGTGCTCAAACTCAGGAGTGGTAGTTTGGAATTTACATCCCGTGAATGAATATATAATAATTGACATTCAGTGTTATTTTTATTGGTTTCAGGTATATTGGTACAGTGTAGTGCTTAGGCATTTATATAATCTGTGAAGTTGACCCCCTTGATCATTACTCATCTGACACCTACGTAATCTTTACATTATTGATTATATTCACCATACTGTATTTCACATTCTCGTGACATTTTGTGATTACCAATTTGTACTTTCTAATCCCTTCACCTTCTCCCTGATCCCCCAACTCCCTTCCTATCTAGCAACCATCAGTTTTTTCTCTGTATGAGTCTATTTCTGTTTTGTTTTCTCATTTATTCTAGTTCTTTAAAATCCACATATGAGATCTTATGGGATTTGTCTTTTTCAGTCTGAGTTCACTGAGCATAATGTTCTCTAGGTCCATCCATTTTGTTGCAAATGGTAAGATTTCATTCTTATTTTATGGTAGAGTAATACTACATTGTATAAGTGTACCACAGTTTCTTTATCCAGTCACTTACTGATGGGCATTTCAGTTTCCATATCTTGGCTATTGTGAAAAGCTTTTAGCTTTTCCCCGTTGAGTATATTAGCTGTAGGTTTGTCATATATGGCCAAGGGATGCATATATGTATTTGAATTAAGTGTTTTGGATTTCTTTGGATAAATACCCAGGAATGGAATTGCTGGGTTATATGGTAGTTCTATTTTTAATTTTTTGAGGAATCTCCGTACTGTTGTCCATAGTGGCCAAACCAATTTTCAATCCCACCAACAGTGCACGAGGGTTCCCTTTTCTCCACAACCTCGCCAACACTTGTTCTTTGTTGATTTATTGATTATGGCCCTTCTGATAGTGAGGTGATATCTCATTGTGGTTTTTATTTGCATTTCTCTGATGATTAGTGATGTCGAGCATCTTTTCATATGTCTATTGGCCATCTGTATGTCCTCTTTGGAGAAATGTCTGTTCAGGTCCTCTGCCCACTTTTTAATTTGTTTTCCTGGTGTTGAGTTGTATAAGTTTTATAAATTTTGGATATTAACCCCTTACCAGATATATCATTGACAAATATCTTCTCCCATTCAGTAGGATATCTTTTTGTTTTGTTGGTTTTCTTTGCTGTGAAAAAACTTTTTAGTTTGATGTAGTCCCATGTGTTTATTTTTTCTTTTGTTTCCCTTGTCTGAGGAGATAGATCAATAAATATATTACTAAGGGTAATGTCTGTGAGTTTACTTCCTATATGTTCTTCCAGGAGTTTTATGGTTTCAGGTCTTATATTTAAGTCTTTAATCCATTTTGAGCTTATTCTTGTATATAGTGTTAGAAGGTGGTCCTGTTTCATTTTTTTGCATGTTTTCCCAACACCATTTATTAAATAGACTGTCTTTACCTCAATGTAAATTCTTGCTTCTTTTTTCATCAATTATAAATGACCATTAGGCATGGATTTATTTCTGGGCTATTTGGTTCCATTGATTTATATGTCTGTTTTTATGCCAATGCCATGGTGTTTTTATGACTATGGTCTTGTAGTATAATTTGATATCAAGTAGCATGATACCTCTTTGTTCTTATTTCTCAGGATTGCTGTGGCTATTCGGGGTCTTTTATGTTTCCATGTAAATTTTAGGATTATTTGTTCTAGTTCTGTGAAAAATGCTATTGGTATTTTGATAGGGATTGTATTGAATCTGTATATTGCTTTGGGTAGTTTGGATATCTTAACTAGATTTTCTTCCTATCCATGAGCATAGTATACATTTCCATTTATTTGTATCTTTAATTTCTATCTTTAATGTCTTATAATTTTCTGAGTACAGGTCTTTTACTTCCTTGGTTAAATTTATTCCTATTTTATTATTATAATGCAATTGAAAATGGGATTTTCTTAATTTCTCTTTCTGATAGTTCGTTATTGGGGTATAAAAACACAACCAATTTGTGGATATTAATTTTGTATTCTGCTTTACTAAATTCATTTATTCTAATAGTTTTTTGGTGGAATCTTTGGGGATCTCTACATCTATTGGGTTGTCGGAAAAGTCATGACGCATTTTTGCAATGAAAAACATAGAAAAAATATGTCATGACTTTTCTGATAACCCAATAGTATGTCATCTGCAATGACAATTTTACTTCCCTCTTTCCAATTTGGAAGGCTTTTATTTCTTGTCTGATTGCTATGTCTAGAACTTCCTGTACTATGTTGAATAAAAGTGGTGAGTGGGCATCCTTGTCTTGTTTCTGATCTTAAGGTGAATGCTTTTAGCTTTTCCCCATTGAGTATATTAGCTCTAGGTTTGTCATATATGGCCTTTATTATGTTGAGATATGTTCCCTCTATTTCCACTTTGCTGAGATTTTTTTTCTTTTAGTTATTTTTTATTATGAAATACATATTTTTTAGAATTAGTTTCAGCTGTACAACAGTGCAATAGTTATACTTTTTACCCCTCGAAGTGACAACCCCCCTCCCCCAATCTGCCACCCCACTTCCCCCAATATCATACATATCTATTACAATTCCCTTGACTCCACTCCCACACTATATTCCACGTCCCATGACTATATATATCTATATCTATCTATCATCTATTCACTTATAGTTGACATACAATATTATACAACGTCAGCTTCAGGTGTACAGTGCAGTGATCAAGCCTCTTTCCCATCCATGATGTGGTCTCCCTAGCAAGACATGTGATCACCTGACACTCCACAAAATATTCACAACACCATCAATTACATTCCTCGAACTGTCTTCCACGTCCCTGTGGCAACACTGCAGCTAAGTATTTATGCTGTCCAACCCCCTCCCCCTCTCCCCCATCCCCACCCTCTCCCAATCAACAGCCATCAGTTGCTCCTCCATATTTCTGAGACCACCTCTGCCCACTTCTCTTGTTCATTCATTCAGTTTTTTAGATTCCACATATAAGTGAAATCATATGGTATTTGTCTTTCTCCGACTGACTTATTTCACTTAACATAATAGTCTCTAAGTCCATCCATATTGTCCTAAATGGTACGATTTCATTCTTCTTTATAGCGGAGTAATACTCCATTGTATAAATGTACCACAGTTTCTTAATCCAGTCATCTACCGATGGGCATTTCGTTTGTTTCCAAGTCTTGGCTATTGTGAATAGCGCTGCAATAAACATAGGGGTACATATATTTTTTTGAATTAGCATCTTGGGTTTCTCTGGATAGATACCCAAGAGTGGAATTGCTGGGTCATACAGTAGCTCCATTTCCAGTTTTTTGAGATATCTCCATACTGATTTCCATAATGGCTGCACCAATCTGCAGTCCCACCCACAGTGCACCAGGGTTCCCTTTTCTCCACAGCCTCGCCAGCACTTGTTGTTTGTTGATTTATTGATGATAGCCATTCTGACAGGAGTGAAGTGGTATCTCATTGTGGTTTTCATTTGCATTTCCCTTATGATTAGTGAGGTTGAACATTTTTTCATATGCCGGTTGGCCATCTGTATGTCCTTTTTAGAGAAATGCCTCTTCATATCCTCTGCGCATTTTTTTTTATTAAAGATTTTATTGGGGAATTGGGGGAGGGAACAGCATTGGGGAATCGGGGAAGGGGAACAGACAAATTGCAATCCTTCTGTTCTTCAGTCTGGTTGTGGAGGACGTTGTTTCACTTGTCCAAGTTGGCACCATCATTGCGCTCTTCCCGGGCGAGGCAGATCAGTCGCCGGCTTCTGGACAGCTGTTCACTGCAGCTGCTGGCCACTCACACTGGCTGCTGGCTACACACGGTATTCCATGGCAGCCCACTGCAGCAAGGGCTGCAGCCTACACCGTCGCCGGCGACTCACGGCAGCCCAGCTCCAGGTTGAGCTATTCAGCATCTTAGCTGTAGAGGGCAGTGTCACTGGCCCTCATATGTGGGATCTGAACTGGGGCCCTCTGGCGTCCCAAATCACCTCTTAAGCAACGCGCCACTCGGCCGGCCCCTCTGCCCATATTTTAATTGGGTTGTTTTTTTTGGTGTTGAGTTGAATGAGTGTTTTATAAATTTTGGATATTAACCCTTATCAGATACATTGTTGGCAAATATCTTCTCCCATTCAGCAGGCTTCCTTTTTGTTTTATTGATGATTTCCTTTGCTGTGAAAAACCTTTTAAGTTTGATGAATCCCATATGTTTATTTTTTCTTTTATTCCCCTTGCCCGAGGGGATGTATCAGTAAAAATATTACCGAGGGTAATGTTTGCAAATTTATTCCCTATTTTTTCTTCTAGGAGTTTTATGGTTTCAGGTCTTACATTTAAGTCTTTAATCCATTTTGAATTTGTTCTTGTATATGGTGTAAGTATGTGGTCCATTTTCATTTTTTTGCACGTGTCAGTCCAATTTTCCCAGCACCATTTATTAA